TCGGGCATGGGGCTCGTGCTTGGAGGACGGGGTGACGTTGTCCTCACTGGTCACTCGGACGCCTCTTGGGTTGACGACCAGGCTACGCAGCGGTCGTCACAGGGTTACACCTTCAGCCTTGGCTCTGGTTCAGTTTCTTGGCGTTCTACACGCTCGTCTTTAGTTCTCGGCTCCAGTTGTGAGGCTGAGATCTACGCCACAGCCATGGCTGCACAGGAGCTTCGCTGGCTCACCTACCTGCTGACTGACTTGGGAGAGCGGCCTCGTTCTCCTCCAGTGCTGTACGTCGACAACAAGGCCGCCATTGCCTTGTGTCAGGAGCACAGACTGGAGCACAGAACGAAGCACATCGCTCTCCGTTACTTTCTTGCTCGAGAGCTGCAGCAGCGTGGCCAGCTTCGTCTTACCTACGTGGCCACTCGGGCCAACAATGCTGATATATTCACCAAGGCACTTCCGCCTGGTGATCATCAGCGTTTCTGCACTTTGTTAGGCCTTGTGCCCACTCTTCCTCACTTGTTGTAGGCTTTGTTTGTACCATGATTTATATGTAGTCCTGCATGCTTGTTCTTGTAGGTAGATTTCACTGTACTGTTGTTGTTACATATATATCTCTGCATGTGAACTGGCCTTGTGGCCTTCTTGCTTGTGCTCAGACTGCGTGGTGACGTTGTGATCCACCGTGAGCTTGCTTTGCACTTCCTGACTGGTCTTGTGACCCTCTGTTCTCCCCCACTCTGCCTATGGGGGTGTGTCAAACATGTGTATATCTATGTTATATTTTGGGTAGGCTTAGTGGGGTACACACTGTAGGGTACAACCCCTTAGGTTCATTTTTTCTTTGTACCACCATCTCGATAGTCGACATTGATCCATGCCTAGCTTCTAAGAATCCTGGGTTGCCTACATACCATGGATGATACATTCCTCCTGATTCCACAGCATAGCACAGCACCTCCTCCACCTGCTCCCAGTGACACTGAGGGCGTATCCCTGGGTGGTGGCAGGGCCACTGTAGCAGGCACTGTTGGTGGCATGCGGGAAAACCGCATGCCATCAACATTGTGCTCGAACCGCCCGCGGCTCGCAGTTCGTGGCAACCACAACAAATTGTGCGACGGTCGCACACGAGAAGAAGCAACCAATCACTGCCAGCGTGCGATACCACTCCAAATGTCAAACCGGTTACTACCATTTGAGGTCTTCGACACCTGGCACTGGCAACTGGTAAACTTGACGCTCACAAAAGGCCTGTAAATTGGCAAGCGTGAAGTGGTTGAGTCAAATGGGAAATTGGCAAACTGTAAAAACACCTCGCGCCTGGTCAACCAACTGCAACTCGTCTTTACAGGACGAGCAATGAGGGGTCCAAAGGCAGTCAAAGCACAGTCCTTATGCGCGTCTTCTTCACCTGCTAAGTCCGTCCCTCATGTCCTCCCTGGATGGTCTCTTGCTCTGCATTGCTGTGCACCTATTATATGGGTTCTATCTAGAGAGCTTCAACCGTACAGTGGCCATTGGTGCCCTGCAGTGGATCGCGATGCAAGGGGCTACGCAGGCTAGGGACGATGAGGCGGCCGCTGAAGAGCGCAGGAGGATCGAACGCCTCCAACGTCAGCGGAAGGAGCGCCGCGCCCGACGCATGGCGGAATGGGTGACTGAGCTCCGCATTATGGAGGACGATGACTTTGTCAACGTCTTCCGCATCTCGTCTGAACTGCTGGAGTACATCGCACCTGTCATGGCCCTCCCCATGAGCCATTTCGTTGAGAAGCTCGGGATCCTACTCGACCTTTGTGTCCTCATCCCTATCAAGTACTTTGCCAGTGCCATGACCTTCATTGACCTGGGCCTCTACTTCGGTCTGCCCAAGACCATTATGCACAGGATTGTGGAGGCCTTCCTCGTGCACTTCCCCCGGAGGTTCAAGAAGTCCTGGGTGCGCTTTCCCACTGCAGAGGAGATGGCGGAGATGGCATCCGACTTCAAGGAAGTACGGGGGCTGCCGAATGTTGTTGGAGCAATTGATGGGACACATATCGAGATAAGGGGGATGGAGAATCACAGGCAAGAGTATTACAACAGGAAGTCCGTCTATTCCACCCAGTTGCAGGTTACATGCGACAGCAAGGGAATTGTCTGGGACTACACCGTCGGGCACCCGGGATCTATGCATGATCAGGGCATCTTCCAGCAGTCCGAACTGCACGCCCGCCTAGAGCGTGGTGACCTCGGACCGTACCAGATCGTCGGTGATGCTGCCTACCCGCTGCGCAGCTACTGCCTCACTCCTGTGAATGCAACCCGCAGGCGCCTGATGAAGAGCTGGGAGCAGACGTATAACTACATCCATTCCGCCACCCGCATGGTTGTGGAGCGGACCATTGGTGCGCTGAAGGGGAGGTGGCGTCTGTTCGGCCGGCGACACGAGAGCAAGTTGACACGTGTGTGTGCGGGGACTGCGTGCATCATCATCCTGCACAACATGATCCTGCGCACCGACGAGCCAAGGAAGCGTACAATCAAGCATCAGTGGCCGGTGTGGATGGGCACCGGCCCACCGTGGTACCACCGGAGTGGCATGAGGACCTATGCATGGTGTGATGCAGAAAGTTATGGACAGTCCGACCTGCGCAAGCGGAGGAAGCAGTTTGGGAAGCACATGCATCGTGCTTACCTGAGGAGCCACCGCCCGTGGCGCCTTGAGCGCGACTAGTCCGACTTCCTGTCATCGCGCGCCTCATCGTCCTCATCCTGGGGAACGTCGCCGGCCTCTCCGCCTAAGGCGGGCGAGTCTTCGTCGCCCGGCGTGTCCGTGAGGGCGTGCGCATTGGCGTGCGGTGGCGGCGCCACATTCTGGGGTTGTGGAGGTGGAGCCCTCCACAGCGTGGCAGCCATGTGGATGGCTGTCACGAGGAGTTGCACCGTGTCGCTTAGCTGCCGCAACGCCTGACCATTGCATGTTGTGATTGTATCAGCGATGACTTTCGCTGCCGCCATGGTGGCGGTCTCGTTGACACGGGGACGCTTGGGGGGCAGTGGTGAAGGGGTGCCTGCACAGGGGAGTGGTGGTGTAGGATGCATAATGCCAGTGTTTCTTGTCATGCAAGGTTATTGTTATAATCAAAAGCTTCATAATATGTGGCTGTCACATGCAAGATAAGTTAGAAAGTTAAAAGGGATAGCACGGATTTGCTAGCTGACACACTTGCCTTCAAGGCCACCGGCCCGCAGGACTTGACGATCACGGAGATTGGTCCTGGGCGTCACCATTCCACCCTCGCCCATGTCGGCGTCATCGCGTATAGGTGCTACAGGGTCAGCGTGTGTCTCTCCTGCTCCGCCACCATCCAACACGTGCGGCTTAACGTTGGCAGGGAGCTTCTTAATGAGGTAAACATACTCGAACCAGGGTTTCTTCCGCTTGGGCTTGTTCCTTGACGTGCCGTTGTGGCGGAGAGTGTCGCGGTACTCTGCCTCAATGCGCTTCCATGCGTGTTGCATGGCGGTGCTGTTGCGCTTCCACTTTGCGCCGCTCTTTTTCATGTGTGCGCGGAGCTTCTTCCAATATTGATTGCCCTGTTTCCCACGCATCTGCTTCAGATCGTCGCGGGTGTACCACTTAGCGGTGGCCAGTGCAGTAAGCTCCTCATCGCTCCACAGGCGCTTCGATTTCGCGTCACGTTTGCGCTTGCGTGTACTTGGGCCAGCCTCCGAGGCTGCGGGATCCGCGTCGGACTCCTCCTCGTCGCTACTGTCCTTCGCGTTTGAGTTATCGGAGTCGTCCTCGGATCCGCTGGAGGAGACGATCTCCTCGAGATCGTCATCGCTCACGTCGGTGTCACCGCCGCCGTCAGAGCTGTCTGCGTGGGCGCCACGCGCTGAGCTCGGGCTGGCGCCGTGCCGCCTAGGAGCTGCTTCCCGCTTTATTTTACCACGCGTATTGCCGTTCTCGCACTGCTCCTTCATCCACTTGACGTAGGGAGGGTCCTCCCATGGCTCGTCGTCATCTACCTTCGCCTTTCCCTTACCACGGTCTCTCTGCTTACGGGGAGGCATGATGAGGATGAGGTTCTAAACTTGCCTTTGGAACTGCACTGTCGCGTGGAGTGGGGTTTTCTGAAGGTTCACAACATGCGTAGAAGAGAAGTGATTACTTTTTCATATCTAGATCTGGAGGTGGTGATTACTTTTCCGCCATGACGATGCAATGAAGTTGGGTGACCCTGAAAGGAGGGGTCATGCACGGTCCTGTCCCGACCAATGGCAGCAGTTGGTGGGCCGGGAATTTTACCATCATGTGAGAGCTCGAACGTGGAGTGTGCGAGCCCAGTTTGCGAGGGAGATAGGGATATGCGATGTGGTGGCTGAACCGTGTGACCCAACCCAACCATGCGATACGTTCGTTCGACCAATCGCCTTGCAGCTTATGTTTGGCAATTTTGTGCCACCAACCTGCTGTTTTAGGGATTCGTGGCATCCGCAAAAACCGCCTGCCATCTACAGTGGCCCTGCCACCACCCAGGGATACGCCCTGATTCAACCACACCATCATGGCTCACGATGCTTGCACTTGCGATTTAATTCAATAATAATGACATCAATATACAAAGAGGAGACAAGGCGACACAAACCTATCAGAGGCAAGGCACCAGCACTCTTGTCGTACCGGGCCTGCAGCCTGCCAGCCTGCCGAGCCTGCCAAGCCTGCCAGCTCAACAGGCAAAATTGGTGATCAACACCCTCTAGTGATCAGCTCCCACGCCAGTGCCCAGCGCTACAGCACCATCAATCAGCTACTATGCTGTGCCGCCCATGCGTCTGTTACGAGTCAGTTTCTATCCACTCCCATCCATCGCTTCGTCCATCCGTTCCCCATCCAAACCCTCGCCCTCCCTTCCCCTCCTTTAATCCGTTTCCACCCCCAACCCCCTTCTCCGCTCTCCTCCTCGCCAGCCATCCGCAACACCAATCTCACCCCCCCCCCCGCCCCACCACGCCTATCTCTCCGTGCGCGCCGCTTCCGCGGGCAGCAGCAGCAGCGGGTCCACAGGCGACCCGTGCCGGTGAATCTCGAAGTGCAGGTGCGGCCCGGTCGAGTGCCCCGTGTTTCCCGACAGCGCGATCGCCTGCCCCTTCCCCACCGCTTCCCCCTTCCGCGCCACGAACCGATTACAGTGCGCGTATAGCGACGCGTACCCCTTCCCGTGATCTACCACCACCACGTATCCGTACCCCTTCCGCCATCCCGCGAACGAGATTCTCCCCGCCTGCGCCGCAACCACTGGCGTGTTCTCCTCAACGGCAATATCGATCCCCTTGTGGAATTTCTTGCGCGCCTCGCGCCACCCGTAGCGCGACGACAGCCACCCGCCGGAGACGGGGAGCCCGAACGGCCCCACCGTTGCCGCGATCCGGCTCCGCTGCGCGAAAATCCCGCCGGGTACGGCGGGGAACTCGGAGACGGAGGCGGCGGCGGCAGCCGACGCGAGTGGGTCGCCTCTATGGCCCAGCCGCAGCGACGCGGGGTCGATTGCCGCGGTCGCCAGGGTGTTCAACGCCGCCGACGCCGCGGCCGCCGCGCGTTGCGGCGCGGCGATGATATGACCGTCCACGTAAACGGACTGGACATGGATTAGGGCCCAGGGGGACAAGGCAGGGACCAGGGGTGAGACAGGGAACAGGGGCAAGCCAGGGATCTTAGACGGAAATGGGGGGAAATGCGATCGAAAAAAAAATGGAGGGTGTTTGTAGGGGAAATGAGTAGGGTTCGGAAACAGTGACAGTACGGGATCAGCCCTCGCAGTGTATACACGCGCTCGGGCAACAAGGATCGGGTTGGGGTGACAGCAGCGCGGCTTACAGGTGGCAACAGCGCCGCGAATTGCTCCTTGCTGAGGTCCCTCTCCAGCCCCAGCGCGTGCGACACGATGCGACTCGTCAGAGTCGCCACCCCTCGACTTAGTCGCCCGTGCGCCGCTGCCACTGCAAGTCACAGAGAAGCGGGGAAATCGCGCGTGAGTGGGGACGAACTGGCGATAAGAGTGCCACGTGGCAGTGGAGGAGGGTACGAAGGGAGAGGGTTCAAGAGTCGGAGAAAAATATGGTAACTTACGCTGGCGTAGAGGTTCGCCTTGCGCTCTCGTTAGAAGCTGCGTCGCCGCAGCGGATAAAGCCGCCTGCGGGTCCTGCGAGAAGAGAAAGAGGCAAGGTCGTCAAGGGGAATGGAGATGAGGTTGAATGCGAGACGGAATAGAGCGGGTGTCATCACAACCTGGGAATCAATGGTATATCAGAGGGATCTGAACCAGTGTAGACTGATTCGTCACTGCTTACTCACCTTTAACGACGACGCGAGCTTCGTCTGCCTTTCGAGTTCCGTCAGTCGTCCATGCACGAAGCTCGCTGCTCCTGCGACCAGCTGGTGTTCCCTAAGTCGCGTCTCTACACTCTCGAAGCTCGTCTGGTTTCCTATTGAAAGGTTCCTAAGTCTACTAGCTATTCTACTAGTCGCGCTGACCGCCGGCTCGACGAGCAGATCGAGGCTCGAGGATTTGGGCGGCCATTGGAACACGAGGACCGGTTTCCATCGGACCTGCTTCACGCGACACACCACCGTGATCTCGCCGCTCCGACCAATCACGAAGCTCGACCGCGCCTGCTCGTGCGGATACCGCACGCAGACGTCGATCGCGGCCTCCGCGGCGCCCTCGCTCCTTCTGCACGCGCGGAGCGTGATCGGCGCGGCGTCATGCCTCGGCGACGATATTTGGTACGAAGTCGACATGTTGTTACAAATGCTAGATACGAGTCAAGCAAATGTGCTGAAAAGCAAAACAATACAACAAGCAAACGCTAAGCAAAGACTGGTAGGGATAGGAGTCGTCAGAGAAGCAGTTAGCCGACAACCAACAGATCAGTGCCTAAACTTTCTATGATGTATTGGAGCATGTTAGGCAGCTGCATAGCAATGAAATGGCACCACTCACAGTCGTGGCTGGCGCTTTTGATAAGAAATGAATGGTTGGTATGTGGGTGGTGGTGCGACGATTCGACGCATTGTATGTCGTATGAGTCGCGTTTGCCGCATGGCAGCCATCACATGTGGTCGCACTGATCGCAATGTAACGACTCGGGTAATTCGGCACCAGAGCAACCTGCACATTTTTGAAATGACGAGCCTGCTGAGTGTGAAAATGGCGGGAAAGGTATGATGGGTCATGGATGTTGTGAGCAGCATCATACAGTGCAGTGTTTCGGCGGCCGCACAGTGCAGCAGATCCGCAATTCATGCCATGCAACGCTAGGTTTGGAAGCTGGTCGGTTCGGATGGATGAGATAGATTGATGGGTTTCAAACCGCATCTGGGTCTTCCTTGGCGTGTGACGAATAGGAATGGCCAGCGGACGCAGATCTGTCCAAGCTGTCAGAAGTAAAACCCTGACACGTGTAATGACTTGTCCGCTCCCGCGTTTACTGGGCAGGCGTCAGGCTTGGAGGCTGAAAAATAATGCAAGTATTTGGGGTGCAGCGGGAGTTTCAAGCATCTCAAGTGAACCTTGGATCATGGTAAATCGAGTACATCAACAAGGAAGAATCTGGTTGCTTGTGGAGGTGGTGGACGACGTGGAAGGTCACAAGAGTATCTGCGTCACCACCATGACAATCTCCATCATCAGTTTGTCCAGCGTGTCTCTCCCTTGCTTCCATGCACTGCCACGGCAGCTCGCAGCAGCACCGTCCTTCCACCTCACCCCACACCCCAAGGCACTGCCCCTTTCCGCAAGCATCAAATTCCTCCCCCACCCCTCCCTTCCAATCACCAGACTCTTGGCAAATTCACTTTCACACGTTCAGCTTCGCCCAGCTATCCCAACTTACGGCCGCCATGTTGACGCTTCCTGTCGCCTCGGTCGAAGCCTGCGCGTCCTTCGCCACCTCTCTTGCCACCAGCGCCCGTAGCGCCGCTGCTCGTCGCCTCGGCTCGGCGAATTTCCTTGGCGGGCATAAAGGCCTGCTCGCAGCCACTGTCGTGCCAGTCGCGTCCGTGAAGTCTTCTAGGGTTCGTCTCGCACTCCATATCCTCCTTTCACTCGCCGCAACATTACCGATCGCACGCTCTGAGCTGATTCTGCAGGAGGTGAAATTCCTTGTGACCCCCGTGTGTGAGATTTCCGAAGTTGGATTAGTGAGTCATTTCAATAAAATATGTGGAAATTCTACTAACCCCAGCCCTAACTGAATTCCTGCGTCTCTCCCCTCGCTTCCCTCAGCCGGTCACCACGGAATCGCTCTTTTCCTTCGCCGGGTGGGGCAAGCCAGCAGCGCCGATGGCGGCGGCAGGAGTGGCGCAGGAGCCGGATACGGATAACCCCGGCGCGGGGCTGCAGTTCGCAGAGTTCGGCGCTGGCTGCTTCTGGGGCGTCGAGCTCGCCTTCCAGCGGGTCCCGGGTGTGGTCAAGTAAGTGGTCGATTGGTATCGCTGGATGCTGTGCATGCTTGCGTTTGCAGGGTGTTGTTTTATTTTCAAAAATACTGAGTGTTTGTTAGTTTCAGTGGATCATTGCGATGTGATGAAGTTCGACGCTGGTGTGATACGATGCGGGGGATGTGCTTGGTCGTTTTCGCTCGATGACTCAATCATTTTTAAGCCATGTTTCGTCTTTGTGCGTGCAGGACGGAGGTGGGATACACGCAAGGCTTGAATGACCAGCCTACCTATGAGCAGGTAAGCGAGTATTTGCATTTGTTTTTTAAACTAGAGAACCTGATGGCAGGTAGGAAGCATGAGTGTGGAATCCTAGTGACCACATGAACAGAAACATAACAATTTATGTGGGGTCCTAGTGACTTAACAATTAAACTGAATTATCTCCTTCCATCTGTCCACCAGGTGTGCTCTGGGCGCACAGGCCACGTGGAGGCGGTGAGAGTGGTGTATGATCCCAAGGAGGTGTCCTACGAGGGGCTGCTTGACGTCTTTTGGAACAGGCACGACCCGACCACTCTCAACCGCCAGGGTGGTGACACCGGCACACAGTACCGATCAGGAATCTACGTCTTCTCCCCTGAGCAAGAGGAAATTGCTAAAAAGTCGCTGGAGGCGAGGCAGGCTCAGATTGGCAAGAAGATTGTGACAGAGATCATGCCTGCAAAGAAGTGGTATGCTGCCGAGAGCTACCATCAACAGTATCTTTCTAAGGGTGGGAGGTTTGGCTCGGGGCAATCAGCGGCCAAGGGATGCACAGATCCCATCAGGTGCTATGGCTAAGTTGAGATAGTGTGATGCTTCTGTTCAGATGTAATGTAAGATATGAGTTGTTTGAACTGTAGTTATTTGTTTTTCAGTCTGCACCTATCATGCCGTTCTCCGAAGCCATGTTCTGGACAACGTATTGGGTTACAAATCCCCTATACAAAAGGTAAGATGGAACACGTACCTACGTTTAGTTCTGAAGGGTGGGGCATGTGAAATTTCTGTTCGGACAGCACTTCCCATGCAGAAGACTGTGTAAGGGGACTTGAAAACATGTAAATGATCGTTATCGTTATTTGTTTTTCTGACCAGCCTTGTTCGCGCCTACACACTCGTTTCGCGCCAACGCTCTTTCCCAAACCAGTGTGCTAGCTTCGTGTGACAAACCCACAGCTTCTTCAAAGCAATTCCCTGTGCCCGCGAGGTTCGGAGTGCCCTCAGCATCCTTTTGTCAGTCCACCCTGCCTGGTCCCCCCAGTTCCCCCCTTCTCCCAGCTTTCTCGATAATGGTTCGTCTGCGCGATTGATTCCAGATTCCGAGACGCTTTTCCATATTCTGGGCAGGTTTCCTGGTGTGTGTTTTCCCTGCGACTTTCACTGGGGACAAGTTGTGTTCTACGCATTAGCTTACGGAACGTATTAGCCTTTAGAATGTACATCATAGAAGCCGCGCGGCGTGGCGAGAATCAGGATCTTCTATTGCGTGATGCAGTTTCTGGTCCAAATGCTTGTCCATGTGCCCCGGTAACGGAACAAAACTGCAGTTCCAAGTCGTGGTTTGGCTGGGATAGGTAGCCAGGTGAGAGGATAGGATTTGGGCAGAATTACGTTTACGACGTTAGGCAGGCACGATGCAATCCGCAACTGCGATTAGCCAGGTGGCAGCACCTGGTTGGTGCGCCGGTCATGCCAAAGAGCCACCCAGAAGCCATCATGAGGCGAGTAACGATCGCGTGTCGTCAGCTCGCCACGTGGAAGCCGCGCTGCTGCGCTCCTTACACCTGCCGCAGATTCTCCGCTCCCTACAGCACGCTCAGTCCTCGTTTGAGTCACCTTCACACGCGTCACATCGCTCCACATCTCGACCGTCCGCCATTAATATGTCAGCCGTACTAGCTCAGTTAGCTCTCCTCCAATTAGAACCGACGAACGGCCACAGGCAGCCAAAGTATGGTCCACTTATGCTGGTCCAGGATCCAACTACATCCGAATTCCACGTCCTATCGCCCCAGGCCACTGTAGCAGCACATACAGCCACGCCATGTCGCCCGCCACAAGCACCTTTAGCGATTGCCGATTCCGCTAAAGCCGCGTCTGGCGGCGCAGAAAGCGGCGGGGGAGGCGGAGCAAGGGACAGTAAGTTCCTGCGCTTGTCAATTCAGTCCGTTGCGCTCGCGCTGGCGTTTGGCGGAGCGGCGGCGTTTCTCCGCATGCTGCTCTCCGCACTCCCCCCGGACTTCCTCTCGCGCTGGAAGAAGCTGTTTGCGGAGCAGCCGCACTTCGACCCCAAGACCGCCGTCGAAGCGCGCCGAGCCACCGCCATCTACGACTGCCACGGCGACTTAATCGCCACCGTCGTTCCCGGCGGGTTCGGCGGGCGGCGGAAGGACGCGAGCAAGGGGCAGGCGCCGTTAAAGCCGACTGAGGTGCCGGCGGTGATGTGGCAGGCGGTTATTGCGACGGAGGACCGACGGTTCTTCGAACACCAGGGGTTCGATCCCAAGGGCCTGACACGTGCCATTATGTCATTGGCGCGGACTGGAGGCGGGAGTACGATCACGCAGCAGGTGAGGGGTGGTGTGCGGGGAGGGCAGACGGGGAGGGCGGACGGGTAGGGCGGACGGGCAAGGCGGACGGGTAAGGCGGACGGGTAGGGCGGACGGGCAGGGCGGACGGGTAGGGCGGACGGGCGAACTGGCACTGAAATTCCTAAAGAGAGAGTTAAGCATTTAAGGTACAGTTGAACGGGGTGAAGCGTGGAATGTGGACGGTGAAATGTAAGGGTGGAAGTGGCGTGCAGATGCTTGTTTCCCCTCCTGCACACCCGGGTGACCTGCAAACCAATGCTGCTTGCTGTGGGCCTTCCCTCGTCGTTTCCCAACCTCCTACCCCTCCGTCTGCGCCTCTGTCGAACGAGGAGTGCACAATTTAACTCCTCCAGCCCTTGTTCCCCCATCCACCCTGCCACGGCCCCCTGCCGCCCCTCCCCCTTCAGCTGGTGAAGAACGTGTGTCTGCTGAACGAGCGGCTGTGAGCTCACTCTCCCAGCGCTTGTCCCCCACCCACCCTGCCGCATCTCCCCCTCCTCTCAGCTGGTGAAGAACGTGTGTCTGCTGAACGAGCGGCTGTGAGCTCACTCTCCCAGCGCTTGTCCCCCACCCACCCTGCCGCATCTCCCCCTCCTCTCAGCTGGTGAAGAACGTGTGTCTGCTGAACGAGCGGCTGTGAGCTCACTCTCCCAGCGCTTGTCCCCCACCTACCCTGCCGCATCTCCCCCTCCTCTCAGCTGGTGAAGAACGTGTGTCTGCTGAACGAGCGGCTGTGAGCTCACTCTCCCAGCGCTTGTCCCCCACCCACCCTGCCGCATCTCCCCCTCCTCTCAGCTGGTGAAGAACGTGTGTCTGCTGAACGAGCGGCTGTGAGCTCACTCTCCCAGCGCTTGTCCCCCACCCACCCTGCCGCATCCCCCCCTCCTCTCAGCTGGTTAAGAACGTGTTTCTGTCGAACGAGCGGCGGTGGACGCGCAAGCTGGTGGAGATCATACTGGCCGTGATCATAGAGAGGCGCATGACCAAGTGGGACATCCTGCACCTCTACCTCAATAAGGTCAGCCTCGTTATGGGATAATGATGTCACATAAACAAGCTGGTGGTGGTCGTCGTAATGGTGGTGGTGATCATAGTGAGGACCCGGCTCAAATGAGGCATTTTTCACCTCTAACCGAATAACGCCCATGACTTGAAGTCGTCTGGGGCCACGTGGTCACTGGTCTGGAAGATCCCTACTCGTTTGTGTCTGTGTGTCTGTGTGTCTGTCTGTGTGTCTCTTGTCTGATCCCTAACGCGTGAAACCTGTTGTTGACTGTCTACCCTCAATGCCCCCGCCTGCAGATCTATTGGGGCCACGGCGTGACGGGGTTAGAGGCAGCATCGGCGCTCTACTTTGGCAAGCACCCGTCGCTGCTCACGCTGGGCGAGTGCGCCATGCTCGCCGGCATCATCCCCGCGCCCGAGCTGCTCTCGCCCTACCGCGACCCCTCCAGGTAGGTACCACCTCGCAGGCAGGTACGACCTACCTACACTAGGTGTCACCTGCCCTTGCAGGTACGACCTACTTTGGCAAGCACCAGTCGCTGCTCACACTGGGCGAGTGCGCCATGCTCGCTGGTATCATCCCCGCGCCCGAACTCCTCTCGCCCTACTGTGATCCATCCAGGTGCCGCCTCACATCACAGGTACGTCCTACACTGGTTGTCACCTGCCCCTGCAGGTACGACCTACTCGCAAGCACCTGTTGCTCACCTGTATGGTGACCCCTCCAGGTATGACCTGCCCCTCTCATAGGTCACATATCCCTGAGGCACGGCCTACCCCTGCATAATGCAAAGCACAGCATTCGTAAGGCCTCAGTTACAGACTCCCCTTTTTATCCTACCCCTTCCCCCCCTTTTCGGGTCTGCGCCTGCAGGGGCCGCAAGCCCCAGGCGCGCGCATTGAGGCGGATGGTGGAGGCGGGCTTTCTGGACATTGCCACGGCCACCGAGGCCATGCAGCAGCCGCTGCGCCTGGGATCCGAGGCCAAGCACGGCACTTCAGGGCCGTGGAGGGCGCCCTTCTTCGTCAGTGAGGTGAGAAGCAGGGAAGGTGCTGTTTGGGAGAGAGGGGGGATGGGGATTGCCGCAGCTGCTGTGGCTGGGATCCGAGGCGAAGCACGGCACGTCCGGGCCTTGGAGAGCGCCCTTCTTCGGTAGCGAGGTGCGGAGCAGGGAGGGTCGTGGTGAGGAGGTAAGGAAGGGGGAGGAAGGGACCACGGAGGCTTGCAGCAGCTGCTGCGGCTGGGGTCCGAGGCCAAGAACGGAACTTCAGGACCGTGGAGGGCGGCCTTCTTCGTCAGTGAGGTGATGCATGTGCTGAGGAGGTGGAGGAGTGGGAGGGGGAGGGGGAGGAGTGGGAGGGGGAGGAGTGGGAGGTGGAGGAGTGGGAGTGGGAGGGGGAGGAGTGGGAGGGGGAGGGGGAGGAGGGGGAGGGGGAGGAGGAATTGCAGCAGCCGCTGCGGCTTGGGTCCGAGGCCAAGCATGGGGCTTGTGGCGGGCGCGAGGTGCATTGCAGGGAAAGGTGATGGTGCATTGCAGGGGAAGGTGATGGTGAGGAGGTGGGGAGGGGCGAGAGGGAGGGGGTCTGCAGGTGCACACGACTTGGAGCTCAGGTGCACACGACTTGGAGCTCAGGTGCACACGACTTGGAGCTCAGGTGCACACGACTTGGAGCTCAGGTGCACACGACTTGGAGCTCAGGTGCACACGACTTGGAGCTCAGGTGCACACGACTTGGAGCTCAGGTGCACACGACTTGGAGCTCAGGTGCACACGACTTGGAGCTCAGGTGCACACGACTTGGAGCTCAGGTGCACACGACTTGGAGCTCAGGTGCACACGACTTGGAGCTCAGGTGCACACGACTTGGAGCTCAGGTGCACACGACTTGGAGCTCAGGTGCACACGACTTGGAGCTCAGGTGCACACGACTTGGAGCTCAGGTGCACACGACTTGGAGCTCAGGTGCACACGACTTGGAGCTCAGGTGCACACGACTTGGAGCTCAGGTGCACACGACTTGGAGCTCAGGTGCACACGACTTGGAGCTCAGGTGCAGGATGTGGGGGAGAAGGTGGTGGGGGATGGCACATGTGAAGGCCAACTCCTGCGTGGGCTGGAGCTCCCTCTGTCTCTCTTCCCTCCCAGCCCCCTCACGCCCATCCCCTCTCCCTCACACTCTCTGCCCGCTCCCGCACGCCCTCCCCCTCTTCCCCACGCCCTCTCCCCTGCCCTTCACCGCCCCCCCAGGTGCTGTACGGTTGGCTCAGAGGTACAAGCGGGAGGAGGTGGTGCGGGGCGGGCTGCAGGTGCACACAACGGGGGAGAAGGTGGTGGGGGACGGCACGCGCGACTGGTGACCCCTCAGTGCTGATCTCTGCTCTGTTTCTCTCCCTCCCTTCGCTCCCTCACGCCCATCCCCCACTCCCCCATGCGCTCCCCCTCCTCCGCCACGCCGTCCCCTCCCCCCAATCACCCCTCCGGCCCCACAGGTTTTGTACGAGCTAGCGCAGAGGTACGGGCGGGAGGAGGTGGTGCGGGGCGGGCTGCAGGTGCACACGACGCTAGACCTGACGATGCAGGACGCGGGGGAGAAGGTGGTGGGGGACGGCACGCGCGAGTACGACCAGGAGCGGGAGGCGGCAGCACAGAGGGACATTGCGGCGATCTCCATGAAGCTGGAGGAGCTGCGGGGGAGGCGGCAGCAGCAGATACTCGCGACTGTGGCTGCTGCTGCTGTCAAGAGGTGGGTTGGGTGAGAGGGGGAGGAGGAGAGAGGAGGGGAAGGAGTGGGTGGGAGAGGAGGGGGGGCAGGAATTGAGACGAGATGGGGAGGGAGCTGGTTTTACATGTCCCTCACATGTCCCTCACATATCCCTCAAATATTCCTCACATATCCCTCAAATATTCCTCACATATCCCTCACATATCCCTCACATGCTCCTCACATGCCTGCTCATGCAGGTCAGCGGAGTTTCGCAAGAAGAAGGGGCAGACACAAAAGACGTGAGTCCTCCAACCCACCTCGCTCAGCCTCCTGGACTCGCCCCTTATGCTCCTTCCTCGCTAATGCCCTGCGCCTGCTGCTTTCTCCTCCCTCACTTCCCTCATCCCCCTCTCCTCCTCCCTCTCCTCGCTCTCCTCCTCCCTCACCACCTTCGTCTCCTTGCACTTTCAAAGGCCCAAAAAAACATTTCCCTCGGTTTCTCTTCGCTTTTGCCCATCCCTCAGCCCCCATGCGCCCATTTCCCTTATCACTCCACACTGCCATGCCCCGAAATTTCCCTCCCCCAGAGTGTCGGAGATGATGGCAGACGAGACAGCAGCAGTGTCTCACTCCACCCCCCGTGCGCCACTTCTCCTCCCCGCGCCGTTTCTCCCCCCGGGCCTTCCCCCTTCCACCTCCTCCCGTCCCCCCAGAGTGTCAGAGATGATGGCAGACGAGACAGCAGCCGTGGCGCGCACGCTTGAGCGATTCGCAGCCATGTGAGTTGGGTGGGAAGATGTTGGCAATGGGGACGGTGGCAAAAGTGGGGGAGGCATGGGGGAGGGTGGCAAGCGGGAGGGTGGCAAGGGGATGGGACGGGAATATTGTGTCACGACTCCCTGTGACTGCCACTTTGCCTCCCTGACAGGAAGAGATTCTTTTCTTCTTTGTGCTCGAACGGTCCTTATATCGAACGGTCCTTATATCGAACGGTCCTTATATCGAACGGTCCTTATATCGAACGGTCCTTATATGCCAAGACTTACAATGTAGCTGTGCTCCCTGTCTTCCTGCCTCAGCCATTCTGCCCTGCCTCTCGCCCCCTCTTCCCCCCCCAGGGAGCGCACGCTGACAGCAGCCGTGCAGCGCTACGAGAACGAGCTCAGGAGCGCTCAGGCCGCCAGGTGCGGGAGGGGGGAGGGATGATGGGGGTGGGAAGATGAGGGGAGTTGGGGGGGTGAGGGGAGTCGAAGGAATTGCGGGGGGGATGCGGTTGGAAGAATGAGAGGGTGGGTGGAGTGAATGTGGCTGGCAGTGTGGGGAGAGAAGATGGGAGGAAGTGAGGGAGAGGGTTAGGGAGAGCAAGGGATGGAAAGGGTTGGTAGGAGCATGAGAGTGCTTGGTCGTATGTTTTGACTCTGGGCATGCGGGGAAAGCCACCCTTGTGTGCACTCGAGTGAGGCAAATTACTATGAGAGCTGTCCATTTCTTGAAGCTTCTCTTTCCATTGTATGCTCCACATCCCCCCAATGTGTCCACCGTGCAGGTTGGAGGGAGTGATGGTGGCCATGGATCCTCTCTCGGGGGCAGTGCGAGTGTTACTGGGGGGATGGGACTATTACGAGAGCTGCTTCAACTCTTGAAAACTCTCTTCCCGATACTCCCCATGGTGTGCACTGTGCAGGTTAGAAGGAGCCATGATGGCAATAGACCCGCTCTCAGGAGCGGTGAGGGTGCTGGTGGGGGGCCATGACTACTATGAGAGCTAACCATGTCTTGAAGCGCCTCTCACCATTGTATGTTCCGCATCCCCCCCATGTGTCCACCGTGCAGGTTAGAAGGAGCCATGGTAGCCATGGACCCACTCTCAGGAGCAGTGAGGGTGCTGGTGGGCGGGCGGGACTACTACGAGAGCTGCTTCAACCGCGCCACCCAGGCGCTGCGCCCCCCCGGCTCCACCTTCAAGCCCGTCGTCTACCTCACTGCACTGGCCGAGGGCATGTGAGTGATTGGTAACTGGGGGTCACCATCTGGGGTTTGAAGAGCTTATCCATTGGGGTTTGGGGTTTCAGGGCTTTCAGGGAGTGTTGTCCCCCCCGGCTCCACCTTCAAGCCCGTCGTCTACCTCACCGCTCTCGCTGAGGGCATGTAAGGAGTCCGGGGATTAGGGGTTTTTGGCAATGTGTGGAGCTGAGTGATGGTCCTGGAATTTGTGGTCTTGGGGTGAGCTGGGCTGCGTGTGATCCAAGTCCCTGCCCCTCCTGCTCCACCTTCAAGCCCGTCGTCAAGCTCACTGCTCTGGCAGAGGGCATGTGAGTGATTGGTTTCTGGGGGTCTCAGGGATTCAGGGTTTCAGGTAGTGTTGCGGGTGAGCGAAGCCGCCACCCACCACCCCTCTCTCTCCCGGGGTCTACCTTCAAGGCCGTTGTCTACCTCGCTCTGTGCTGGTGACAAGCCTTACGAGAAGCCAAACCCACTCACGTCCTGCTACACTTGCACTCACGTCTAAGTTGGTCATTTACGCCATTTCAGCCCACGTACACGTAACGTACGCGTACATGTACGTTTACGTGTACGTACGCGTACGTACGTGTACGTACGCCGGGCAGGTCAGAAAAAAAAAGTTCGCGTTGAAATTTCTTCGAAAACGGTTTTTGAAAAAACTTAAAAAAAAAAAAAGTTTTCGAGGACCTGTGCTCTGTTAGCGTGTTAGCAAAACGGCGCGACGTTTTTCAAAGTAGTAATGTAAGAAACAGGAAGGTTGCTAGCTAGGGTTGCTATGGTGTGGCGACTACCCTACGTACTATGTCGACTAAGGCGGTAGAACCACGATAGCTAAGTCTGTCGAGAGAAGGAGGGAGGAAATTGTGGTGGGAGTAGATCCGAATGTGTGCAAACTGTTCGCGATAGAACATTGCGAACAGTTTGACTCAGATCGCGATTGCTTCGTTTGCAAGGTAAGCGAATCTCACCCGCTCGGCAGTTTCGTCACCGCCGAGCTTCACTGGTTTCGGCGAATTCCAACTTCGAGTCAAACCAATTCGTTGAGTCAAATCTAAATGTACACTACATGATGGAATGTTTACACTATATGATGGAAATCATGATTACGAGGGAGAACTATAGAGAAAATATACATGTTCGGGCAGCCCAGAAATTTTTTCGCCTGCCCGTACATTAGGCCTCCAACCCAACAGCCGCGTAAACGTACGTACCCGTACACGTACGTACGTAAACGTAAACGTAAATGACCAACTAAGACTCACGTCCTGCTACACTTTCACTCACGTCCTGCTACACTTTCACTCACGTCCTGCTACACTTTCACTCACGTCCCCTACTCCCTCTCCCCCTTCCACCACCCCCCCCCCCCCATCCAGCACCAAGGACTATGTGTTGGTGGACGAGGCGTACGAGGTGGGGGGGTTTGCTGCCAATGATACGATACCTCCAACCCTCCCTATTCTCTCACCCTCTCCTCCCTCTCGCTCCCCTCCCCCCACCCAGCACCAAGGAAGGACTACGTGTTGGTGGACGAGCCGCACAAGATGAGGGGGTTCGCTGCCAAGCTAGCTGCCATTTCATATCTTCACACCCCCTACTTTCCCTCTATCCTAACCCCACCCCCGTTCCCTCTCCTCCCAGCACCAAAGACTACGTGCTGGTGGACGAGCCGTACGAGGTGGGCGGGTTTGCTGCCAAGGACGTGATACCTCCTATCTCCATCTTCCCTTCTCCCACTTCCTCGCCCCCCCTCCCAGCACCAAGGACTACGTGTTGGTGGACGAGCCATACGAGGTGGGCGGCTTTGCCCCGGAGAACTACGACCGCAAGTTCCGCGGGCCCGTCACGCTGGAGGAGTCGCTTCTCAAGTCGCTCAACGTGCCCACCGTCAAGCTGTGCGCTGAGATCGGTGTTGACAAGGTGAGGGTGGTTTGCTGTGTGTGAGGTGGGTATACAGTGGGTGGGATCGGAGTAGCCAAGGTGGAGCCTTGATAGTTCCGCGGGCCCTTCACACTGGAGGAGACGCTTCTCAAGTCGCTCAACATGCCCACCGTCAAGCTCTGCACTGAGATCGGTGTGGACAAGGTGAGGCGGTGTTGGGATACGGTGGGGGGGCTGCGTTGCTGTGCGTGACGTGGCTATGCAGTGGGTGGGATCGGAGTAACCAAGGTGAAGCTGTGATAATTCCGAGGGCCTCTCACTCTGGAAGAGTTGCTGCTCAAGTCGCTCGACTTCCCCCCTGTGAAGCTGTGCTCTGAGATCGGTGTGGACAAGGTGAGCTGGCACATGGGAGGCATCAAAACGCCGCTTGCATGAGCTGGTGCCATCAAAACAGACCGTTCCTGCTTCTGCTTCTGCTTCTGCTCTCTCCCCCTTCCCCCTTCTTCCTTCCCCCTTCCCCTTTCCCCCTTCCCCCAACCCCCTCCGCCTCCCGCCCTCCACCCCCCAGGTGTGTCACATGGGACGCGCACTGGGCATCAAGACCCCTCTTCCACACGAGCTGGCGCTCTCACTGGGCGGCTGTGAGGTGACGCCCCTGCAGCTCACCACCGTTTACTGCACGATCGCTGCAGGGGGGATATACCACCGCCCTCACCTCATCACCCGTGTGGAGTCGTACAATGGAAGGGTGCTGGAAGAAGCCAAGGTGAGCGTGAGGGTGAGGCAGGGAGGGGAGGGGGGAAGGGGGGCTGCGTATGCGTGTGTTTTCTGATTGTACAACGCGAGGGTGCTGGGCTGGCTCTTAAATTTAAGTCGTGCGCCCTCCCCCTGTCTAACCCTCTCTCCCTTGTCGATTCAGGTGTGCATGGAGTGCAGGGAACCAGGTGCGTTGAGCTATCTCTGCCTGAGGCGTGCACCCCCCTCATGCCCCCTGTCTAACCCTCTCGCCCCCTCCAGGTGTGCATGGAGCGCAGGGACCCGGTGGTGGATGAAGCAGCGGTGGGCGAGTTGAGGATGCTGCTGCAGGCCGTGGTGGAGCGCGGCACCGGCAAGGGCGCCCGCATGGACCGCCCGTGCGCGGGCAAGACGGGCACGAGTGATGGCCACCGCGACTGCTGGTTCGCTGGGTTCACCCCGCAGCTGGCGTGTGTGGTGAGTGGTGGGGTCTGTACCATGGGGTGAGCAGTGGAGGTTGAGTGGTGGGGTGCGTGAGTGCGTGGGATAACCTCCCTCTCACTCCTGCCCTGCACCACCCTGCCACTGCCTCACCACCCTCCACCCATCCCCACCCCTCCTGCCCTCACCTCCGTGCCAGGTATGGCTGGGCTACGACGACAACTTGCCAGTGGGAGGGCTGCACCCCGGCACCGGTTCCAGCCACGCAGCACCGCTCTGGAGCCGCTTCATGACCCTCGCCCATGAAGGGCTGCCCGTGAAAAAAATCCTCGACCCTGCCCGGGACAGGTACAGCGGGCGGGCGGCTGGAAGGGAGTTTCAGAAACGGAGCCGGCGGGCTCAGAAGGTGGGGCTGAGTGAGGTGCGGAAGAGGGAGGGCGGGAGGAGGAAAGGAGGGAGAGAGGTGGTGTGGAAAGACGTGTGGGATTGGGAGAAGGCGAGTAGTGGGTGGCAGGAGAGGGAGAAGATGGAGGAGTGGGCAGCAGCGAGACGAGAGAGGGGTGAGGAGATTCGGGCTTTAAGGGCCAAATGGGGATGGCTGCCGTTTGTAAAGGGGAATAAGGGGGCAGGCGGGGAGGGAGGAGGGGAGTCGCCGGGGAGAGGGTTGCTTGGGGATGAAGGGGAGGAGGTAGGGGAGGATGATTACGAGGATGCGTTGCGGTTCTTTGAGCGGGCGAATGAGGCGGAGGGGCAGGGTGGGAGGAGGGGTGGGGAGAGGGGAGGGGAGAGGGGTGGAGAGAGGGAGGGGGCAACAGGGAGGGGCATTTCTGCAGCGGCAATGGCTGCTGCTAAGTGGGGCGCAGGGGGGAGAGGAGGGGGCGTGGAGAAGCGAGGGGGGAGTGGGGAGACAGGAGCAGAGAGGGGAGTGGACGAGGAAATGGGGAGGAGGTGGAGCGCGGAGGAGGGAGTGGAGGGGGAGGACGAGGAGGAGAGTGAGGTTTGTGCGAGGGATGGTGAGGGGGATGATGAGGATGGGTTGTGGGAGGAGGGGGAGGGAGAGGAGGAGGAGGAGGAGGAGGAGGCACCAGAAGAGGTATTGGCTCGCATGCAGGAGAGGCTGGAGGAGCAGTTTGGGGTGCGACTGGTGGAGGCTGTATTTGAGAGGCGAGGGGGGGACGGGGGCTCGGGGGCAGATTTCAAGGGGAGGGAAGATGGGCCTGCAGGGACAGCAGGAGTGGGGGGTGGAGAGAGAGGTGGGGGGGGAGAGGGAGGTGCAGCGGGTGAGGCGGCATTGTATGAGGGAGTGCGTGTGCCATCTGTGACAGCAGCATCATCCTCACGGCCGCCTGCATTGGTGGAAGGCTTGACGTGGAGTGAGCGAGTTGCATCAGCGCAGCAGCAGCAGCTAGAGCAGCAGCAACAGCAGCAGCAGCTACAGAAGCAGATTGCAGTAAACGCCACCACCTCAGATCTAGTCGAGCCTCGTGCCGAAACTCAACTTCCTTACACCGAACCTCAAGTGTCCCGTACCAAGCCTCAGGTGCCCCGGTCTGCAGCCCAAACCTCCATGGCTGAGAACCAGGCAGCTCCTGCAGCAGCAGCAGCGGCAGCAGAAGAGCAGAGAGAGGTGGTGAATGCGAAGTTCTTCACAGCAGTGAAGTCGGATTCAGATTCTGCCATGCCTGACATCTCTCCGCTACAGCCATGGCCTGAGAAACAGGGCGACGGGGCGGAGGGGGAAGGGGAGATGGAGGCATGCTGCCCCATGCCCCCATGCACGGGGCTGCTCCCAGCCTGCAGGGAGCCGTCACTGGAAGGGAGTGCAGATGCTGAGAGAGGTGAGGTGGATCAGAGGGAGCTTGAGGAGGAGGACGAGGAGAAGCGGCTGAGGTGGACCAAGCGGCTGTTTGTGAAGACCAGGGTCACGGCTCCGGGCGGCGCGCCCCTACCCCTGTCATCGTCTGGATCTTCTGCCTACTCAGCCTATACTGCTGCCACTGCCACCACAACAACAGGGAGAGGCTTCTCACAGGAAGATCCTGGGCAACACAAGGTATCTTCGCCTCCTCTCGTCCCTTCCCCTTCTTCCTTGGGTCCTCCATCGTCGCTAGCCCCCTCGGTCCAGCCCCCTTTGGTTCCTGGCAGGTATGGTGGTGATGCCAGCAGCGTGCCTGGCAGCTCAGCAGGCATGTGGGGGAGTGCAGTGCCATGGCGGCAGCAGAAAGGAGCTGGGTTGGGCCCTGATGCTCCAAGGGACAGGGCAGTTGGGTCGCCTGCTTTATTCGGCAGGTTTGGTGGTACTAGTCGGACAGATAGGACGTAGGTATGAATTAACATCACGTATTCGATTGATAAATCAAATTAGGGGAGATGCCAGTCTGGCTAATGACTTGGATTGGATAGCTAAAAACAGGTGGTGGTGTTCTTTGCACTTTCTACACGCATTATAAAGACTGTCTAGCCTGCGTGTTTCGCGTACTGGATGACCCTGACCCCCCTAGACTCAAACATCAGTTTTACGAGCGTCCCTTCATGTCAAATGTGCTGACCTGGGTCTGACACGAACCCCGAAATACTGTACCCCTATATGTACCGCTGGTCAAGTACAATTGATGGGAACTGCAGCTGGTGTAGTACAGCCTGTAAACGGTTTGTAGGGACCCATTTGGACAAGGACGTCGAAGAGCCCAACGTAAAAATCTAAATCGCACATTTGGTGTGTGGCCATCTAACTGCCGAGGGGCTATCTTTTTTTTTTTTTTTTTTTTTTTTTTTTTTCGATAAATATCCTAAAATGTCAAAATTACATTTCAACAAGCATACAGACATGCATAAACCCTTCCTAAAAGTGTCTTACTACCTCAAACATCAAAAGACCATCGCCAAAACCCGAAACAAAGTATTGCTTCCTAAGACATCTACAGCCGCATGTCGACCAAGTAGGGCACGTCCACCCATGGTGCTCCCTCTCCAAACTCCTGCTCCCCACCCCCTCGCTCCACCCACTCCGCCTCGGACTGACCCAACGTGTATGCCGCCCGCAAAAGAATCACCCGAGCCTGTGCCTTCTGCAAAGCTACCCCTACCACGGCTGTCAAGGACCCCACCAAGTATTCCGAGAAACCCGAGCTGTTGCCCCTTCCCACACCTTTGTTAAGAGCCACCTTTACTTGAACCTCCCCCTGCTGCCGTAACCACTGTCGAAAGCTTCCCCCCAAGCAACCCCAAGTCTCAAGAATCAACGGGAAGAAACGAACCCCCCTGTGCTGCCGCAGAAAAGGTTGATAATCCGTCGCCTTCCTCTTCTCTCGCTCCTTGGCAGCAAAACCTACTGTCCGCCCACACTGCCCATGCTGCTGCACCGGTAGCGAAACCGGATCCACGACGCTCACCTCGAGCGCATGTTTTTCCCCGTCCATTGGTTTCCTAACCGCCACATCCACTCTCTTCCCCGGCAGAAGCGTGTCATCCTCGATCGTAACCACCCCACCCGATGCCTTGGCTATCTTAGCAACAACGAGCTTCACTGCATCATGAACACGAGACGGGGCGTACTGGTACTTGCACCGAAGAGCATGGTGCGGATCTGACGGGTCCTTGAACTCCACACCGCAAACACACTTGCCAGCAACCAGAAGCTGGTGGACGGGAAGGCCCAAACGGATTGCCGCCGAAATGCCCCACTCCACAGGGGTGAAAGTTGCGTCATCATGCGCTGGAACTGCGGACACCCATGCTGCCGAACCCGGGCCCTGAAGGGAAGTCAAACGGGCCAAGGTAGCATCATCGCGGGCCATGCGCCGCAGAGACTGAAGACTTTCAACCGCCAAGCGACGCTGCTGCGCTGGGAAAAGCTGGAGGGGGGGATTTGTAGTGCAGAGCCCCAAACTCGGCAATTCCTGCCTGACAACAGGCGGGAGCTGGTCAAGGGCCTTGGTAAACCAAGGGTCCAGTAAATCCCCAGCCGGCGGAGTGCGGAAGAACTCACTGAACATCTGCTCCTCGCCCGCTACTCCCAGCTTGACAACAGCACTCGCAGCCTGGCACCACCCACAGACGTAAGAGAGAGGGCTAAGAGTTGCTGCTGAACGAATGCCAAACCCGCCCAAACGAGCCGGGAGGTGCAGCTGCAGGTGAGCCATGCGCGACCTATCAGGACTGAAGTCCCAAGTGTCTGGCGGGAAAAGTTGCTCAAAGCACTCTTCCAAAGCCCCATCCCAATCTCTGAAAGCGTCAAGAACCTCAGGACGAGGGGGAACAGTGCGAGTCAAGAAGAGCGGCCGCGCAGACACGGCAACAGCCAACAAGTGGGAGGCAATCTGGGGGTGGTTCAAAATAGGAAGCCAAGGTAGAGGTGATCGCAGCTGCAAAAGTCTCTCCCTCAAGCGCGCCACCTCCCAATCCTCCTCTCCAATAGGTACCCCCACCACTGTTAACCCCGTCCACGACTGCTGCATTCCCAGCGGAATATCCCCAGACGCTGCCGCCTCCCCTCTTTCCCACATCCTACACTTGTGCGATTGCACCTCCAAGCCCACCCACTCCAGTCGCTCCCGCAAGACATCGTACGCCGCCAACACCCGCTCCCGCGGGCCAAGAACGTAGGTGTCATCAGCGTAGCTCAAGAAAAGAAGATCAGGGAAATCCTTCATTGTAGGCCCCATAACCAACTGCTGCGTGAAAGCAAAAAGGAAGGGACCAAATGGATCCCCCTGTCGCGAACCCCGCTCGGACGCCAGCATCTCGACAAAGGGGCCTGTGCGAAGGTACAGACCGCTGGGCACCCCATAAAAGACGCGTAAGAAAGGGATAAGGCCAGCAAAAGGAGAATCGCGGAGGCCGTCGAACATCACGTGCCGATGGAACGAGTTGAAGGCATTCGCTATATCGATCTGCAGCGCGCACCACGTCGGATGAACCGCTACAGCCGAGCGGAAAGCATGCGCCAGAATCTCCACCCCCGACTTAGTCCCCACCCCTAGTTGGTTACAAGGAGCGAAGTAGGTCTCCATGTCGGGACGAAGAAGAACGCATAACGCACGCGCCAGAATCCGAGGGAGCACCTCTCCGATAGCCACTGGGCGGACGTCCCCGTTCGGCTTGGATAACCCAACCAAGTTCGAGGCTGCAAGCCAGGGCCGCACCCGCTCAGAAACGCATCCCGAAATCCACTGCCTGAACACCTCCAACAGATGCGGGAGATAGGAAGGCTCCGAGAGAAATGTGTCTCGGAGGTGCTCTGTCATCCATCCTGAGGGGCCTGGTGCTGAGGCTCGCGCTGCGGAATGAATAGCATGCTTGAGGATGTCTTCAGTTAGGTGGGGAAGATGAGAAACGTCTATGCGAAAGTGCTCCACCCACTCAGGAACTGGCACCTCACTGGCCGGGTGCTTTGCTGTCAGCCGGTCTACTGTTAGTTGAGAGGGCTGCGCCAAGTCGCCCGCAGTAAGGCATGCTAGTCCTCGACTCCATTCCCCCACTTGGCACCTCGTGCGACATCGGGCCAAACGGATGGCATCAGCATCTCGCTCAGGTAAGGAGAAGGCAAGAGGTCGCGCCGCCGGAGTCAATGCGGCAGAGGCAGCCTCGAACAGCTGTTGCCATTCCCCTGCCCAGAACTTTCCGAGACGCCCTACTATGGCTGCCCTTCGTCCAAGACCCTCCTTCGCGGGGACTCCCAAAATGAGGCGCGGGAAGGCCAGGAACATCAGCGTCGCCGCCTCATCCCCAGGGGAAGCCTTCAGTCTCTTGAGAATGCAGCACAATGCATCAAGCACCCCCAGTCGCGCCCGCTGCGGGACCCGACGAAGAAGCTCTCCCGACACAGAATGAATACTGAAAAAAATCTCCCAGTCCCACGAAGGCACCGCCCCCCACACCTCCTCGCCGATATCCCGCGGAGGTACTGGATCTGCCCCGAAGACCTCGCTCAGGTTCGGGGAGGAAGTAAGGGCCTGAGCCCGCCGCTGAGCATCTGCCGCTTTACATGCAACTATGTGGCGGGAGGCCGCACCACCAGGCGGAAATGTGTGAAAGCAGAACTCGCAAGGGACACAAGTTGGAGCAAGTGGAGCCGTGTCAGGAGTGGCTGAATTCTCCGCAACCCCCGGTGTGGGGCTTTCCGGAGGGATCGGGGGGGCTGCTGCTGCTGCTGCTGCTGACGCTGCTGCCGCTGCTGCTGCCGCTGCCGCACGCCCTGAAGTACTGCCCTCGCCCCCAGCTGCCCCCCTGCGTGCTGCACGCCCTGAGGTGCTGCAGTCACCCCCTGCTGTCCCGCTGCCTGCTGCACGCCCTGGGGTGCTGCAGTCACTCCCTGCTGTCCCGCTGCCTGCTGCACGCCTTGAGGTGCTGCAATCAGTCCCTGCTGTCCCCCTGCCTGCTGCACGCCCTCAGGTGCTGCAGTCACTCCCTGCTGTCCCGCTGTTTGCTGCATGCCCTGGGGTGCTGCAGTCACTCCCTGCTGTCCCGCTGCCTGCTGCACGCCTTGAGGTGCTGCAATCACTCCCTGCTGTCCCCCTGCTTGCTGCACGCCCTCAGGTGCTGCAGTCACTCCCTGTCGTCCCCCTGCCTGCTGCACGCCCTGGGGTGCTGCAGTCACTCCCTGCTGTCCCCCTGCCTGCTGCACGCCCTCAGGTGCTGCAGTCACTCCCTGTTCCCCTGACAGTGGCCGCCGTCGCACCAGCTGGCCTCCCGGACGTTGGCTCGTAAGCGGCCGCCCCAACTCGCCCTCTGCCTGCTGATCCTGCTGATTGCCCGACCGCTGCTTGCCCTGGCCTCCGCGTCGCCTCCTGCCCTTGCCTCGTGGCAGTTGGTCGTCCAAGGGCCCCTGCGCCTGAGCGCCCAGCTCACGCAGCTGCTGCCCTCTCTGATCCGTTTCCCCCTATCTGCAGCTCCCCAGGAGGAACAAAAAGATCTTGTTGGTGCTCCCCACTGTGGCCCGAGAGCTGTGACACAGGCACCAAATCTGTCTCCATTTCTTGCTGCTCCACTCGAAGTGGGCTCGCTACACCCATGACTTCCCATGTATCACCCACCCAGGTGCCCAGCTGCTGCCCCTGCTGCTCTCCCGGGTGCTGCTCCTCCAGCCTCAGTTCTTGCTGCTCCCCTGGCTGCATTTCCTGCTGCTCCCCTGGCTGCATTTCCTACTGCTCCCCTGGCTGCATTTCCTGCTGCTCCCCTGGCTGCATTTCCTGCTGCTCCCCTGGCTGCATTTCCTGCTGCTCCCCTGGCTGCATTTCCTGCTGCTCCCCTGGCTGCATTTCCTGCTGCTCTCCTGGATGCATTTCCTGCTGCTCCCCCCGTTGTATTTCCTGCTGCTCCCCT